GCTTCAATCTTTGCTATGTCTTCGGCTACTCAAATATTTTACGTTTTTGATACTAAATTAACATCTGAAGTATAATTTTTTATTGTTTTTATATTTTTCAATATATTTATTTTGTTTGTACAAAAATAAAAAAATAATTTTTAACGATACAATAGTCTTCGTTAAGCTTAACATCGACGAAAATTCAACGCCAAGCGACACGCAACGGAGAAAAATTTTAACACGGGATTAATATATTTTTTCGTACATAATTGGTTATCCGAAAAACAAGTTATCCGAACAACCCCAGTCCCCAATTGATTCGGATAAACGACGCTCTACTGTATTTATTTTTAATATTACCGATATGTCATCGAAAAGAAAACGTTATGTATTATCATTAAAAAACAAATTAAAGTATTTGTTTCGATTATCCGAATTTTTCCTTATCCGGACTTCCGTCATCCTCAATTAGTCCGGATAATCAAGGTTCTACTGTATATAATTATTCAAATTGTTACTATTTTTTAGATATATTGTATACGAAAGCTGTCGCATAAGCTTAAAAACTTAACAAAATATAAGTAATGGTTTTATTGGCGATTCTGTAGTATATACAATGAGTCAATAAGAAGCAACTGTTTCAGAAATTTGTTAATCTTTTACTATATCAAGTTTATGAATGAAATTACAGTAGAATTTTGTACTAGAAAAAGTATACAAAAGCGAAATAGTAGACGTAATCGTGATGTAGATAAGTTTCAAAAGTTAAAATATTAAGCAATGATGATATTACACTTTCAGAGTAAATAGTATTTACTATATTTTATTGAAGTTGTAATTCTTACGCAATTATTTGTTTACGTTTTCCCTGTTTATATACAATCCTAAACATTAGAATTTATATATTTATCTCGAATTTATTAAAACAAAGCTTAATGCTTCTGAAAACATACGAAAATGCTTTGAAGAAGGTTGAAAATATGAAAACTTTTTAGAGACCTTCACGTTTTCAATCCAATAAGTAAATAATAATAAATATCAGCAAATTTTAAGCGAAATACAATATATATATTACTAGTTTTAACCCAGAAAATGTATTATTTTAAACAATTTTCGAGAGAAAAATTACGCAAAATTAAAATTTAAGAATAAGAATTAGACAATAAGTCGCTTATTATTACGAGAAGATGACAGAATATAAGATTAAAATTATTTAATTAATTTTATAACAAATTTCTAATGAACTAAAAACGAATTAATTGAATTGGGGGATATCTATGTAACATGTCTTATGATTCAGCATAATCTTAATAAATGATAAAAAAGGATGGTGAGGCGCACCCTGGTATCAAATTATACTACTAAACTGATAATGGTTGACGTTCTGGAATTTTTATTTTGATTAGGAATATCAAAGAAAGAATGGAGAAATTAATGAAATGAAGCGTTGTATCTATATAAAAATTGAATATAATCGATAGTAAAGTATGTAGTTTTATAAAAGTATTGTTTTATTATATAGATTTTACATATATTATCACTCCGTATGTTAGAAAATTAGTCCTAAAGAGTTGCGTAGTAAATTAAAAGCTTAAAAATCTGTCTTCTTAATCATTAATTTCTTAAATCCATCGATTTAAAATTGATTTCTGTTGTTTAAATTTATATTTTATCATCTGATAACATTAAATAGATTAGTCATTGATTTAAAAATAAAATTCTTTTGTCTGACTCTATGCATTGGCTTGTATGTAAATCTTCTATTTTCTCGATCAAAATATTCATCTTTATGATAATTAAACGAGAAAATTAACGTAAATATTCTACAAAATTGCTTGTTTTTAATTGTTTTTCAGTTATATAACGTTTCTGCATGGTTGCTTTTTCAGTAAAGTTACAAATTTAAAGTTAATTTGAGTTTAAGGAAATGTTTCAAGAAATTTTGCTTATTTTTCTGTGCTTTTTTTAATTTATAAATATTCAAAATTAAGTTATGAATTAATTCTTTTGCTTTTCTGTTGATTATTAATGATATTTATGAATTTGTGAAGCTGTTTCTACAATTCACAAAAAACTGATGTATATGTATGGTATGCAGTGTTGTCTTGTGGTATGGTCTAGTGAAACTAAACTATTTACTAAATATATATATGTGAATTGAGAGGTTCCTTTTGGTAAGTGCCCTAGAGGAACTTTTTAAAAATGTGGTGTCTATTTAGATATGTCTGACCCAACTAGAAGGAGCATAAAGGAAGATTGGACTAAATATTTGATAAAAAATACTCCTTTTGCTCATATATAGTACAGTATGGTCTGCATCCATTCTAGGATAACATTGATCTGCTACAGACCAATGCCATTTGCTAATTTTTAAATTATTTTATAATTTAAATTTATCTTAAAGCATGTAGAATATAAGAGTTTAATATCGTCCTCTTTTAAAATATGTGCAAGTTATTTGATTATTAAATTTTTATATGAGTAGAACAAATTAGAAGAATGAACTTACTTTTCAAGAGATACATAACAAAAATATGTAGATTTATTAGCATTGCTGACCTTATTTGATATTTTTAGTTTACTAGTAAAAAAATTTGTTTTCTATACTAATTAAACTATGTTTTTGGGTAGGTGTTTTATCACAAAAGATTGGATCAGACTGTGTATTATTTTTCAATTATGTATTTATATAGAAGAATATAGAATTAAATAATTATTATTTCAAAATATTACACAGAAAGATACTAAACAAAATACATATAATAATTGTGATGGAACATTAAAACAAAAACATATGTTAAGCAAACAATAAAAATAAAAAATAATGCATATTGATAAGTTAGTAGCTTGCTTTTTTTTATGTTCAAAAATATATTTATGCTTATGATGCTATGGAAACATTGAAGAGAATAATATTTTATATCATATTTATGTATTTAAATTAGTGAAGTTTATAAATTGATTGATAAAATTAGTCTGCTTGGAAAAAATTGAGAATTTAATTACAAAATTTTCATAGAATAATTTTGTCTTTATTTTCATCATACAAATTTATTAGCATTTGTATTTCACTCTGTTTTAAATAAAATAATCTAATTATTTTAACTAAGAACAATGCAAATGTAAAGAAAGTGATCTTTCCTAAACAAAACTTCTTGGAAAAGATTGACAAATGTAAACATTTACATGCAAAAACCCTACCATTTAAATATTTAGTCTGGCAAATAAACTACCTCCTAGAGACCTAGACATTAGAATGAATGGATATGAAAAAATTTTGTTGTGTAAATATATCTATTTATGATAAGAATTTTATTAAAGTTTATTATAAATTTAAAATCAAAAATAACAGTAAAGAATTTTAGATTCTTGTTTAAATGAATTATTTTCAATTTTAATCAATAGTTCAATGTTCAGAATCATTTCTTTAATTTGATTATTCTGTTGATTTGTAATAAGTAGAAATAACTGAAAATATTTAGAATTATATATATAAGAATAGTTCATCAATATGTTAAAATTTCAATATTTAATTGAATATTTAGCATAATGATATAGATAATGAATGGAAATTTATAATTAAGTTAGAAGCAAATCTGAAAATCTTTCTGTGTTTCTGCTGATGTTACTGAAGTATTATTAAATTTAATATGTAAATAAAATAGTAAACATTTTTTCTTGGCAACAATTCAAATTTTTTTCAACCTTAAAGGAGCAATGGCTTTACAGTATTAAATTAAAATCCAAATTTTAACTACAGAAATTATTGTTACGTGTAATAAAATCATTTCATTTATTTGTCAAAACCATGTCTTCTTCTTCTTGTTTTGTTTGGTTCAATGTCACAACTTGGCGAATTTATTCACACTTGGCAAATAATGTCATCGTCAACTTTTAATCCATAAAGATATGTGTTTCGGACTTTCGCCTTTCTTCAGTCTGTTACATAGATAGGGGAGAGGGAAGACATAGTGTGGAAGGTGCCTGACAGATGTACACAAGATATAACCTATCTATGTAACAGACTGAAGAGGGGCAAAAGCCTGAAACATGTATCTTTATGGATTAAAAGTTGGTGATGAAATTATTTGCCAAGTGTCAATAAATTCACCAAATTGTGACATTGAACTAAACAAAATCATTTCAATTATATTCAAATAGTCAATTAAAATCAGGAAAAATTATAAAGCTGTTTAAAATTAATAAGTTAATTTTTTGGGAGAGTTTTTACTAGTAGATTATATAATACAATATAGCATCAAAGCATAGTTGATCAAAAAGTATAAGGTTACATATCTCAATTACAGATAATTCCCGTATAACACAGCACTTCTATAGCATGGATTCACTCTAACACAGTTCGAGAATTGGGAACATCCCCGTATAACACGGTGCTTTTTAGCACGGGTTCAGTCTAACATGGTTCAGGAATCATACAACATGAAATGTAATAAAGGGTGCGTTCTTTTATACTCTGCATTTAATTTTATAACAAATTTCTAATGAACTAAAAACGAATTAATTGAATTGGGGGATATCTATGTAACATGTCTTATGATTCAGCATAATCTTAATAAATGATAAAAAAGGATGGTGAGGCGCACCCTGGTATCAAATTATACTACTAAACTGATAATGGTTGACGTTCTGGAATTTTTATTTTGATTAGGAATATCAAAGAAAGAATGGAGAAATTAATGAAATGAAGCGTTGTATCTATATAAAAATTGAATATAATCGATAGTAAAGTATGTAGTTTTATAAAAGTATTGTTTTATTATATAGATTTTACATATATTATCACTCCGTATGTTAGAAAATTAGTCCTAAAGAGTTGCGTAGTAAATTAAAAGCTTAAAAATCTGTCTTCTTAATCATTAATTTCTTAAATCCATCGATTTAAAATTGATTTCTGTTGTTTAAATTTATATTTTATCATCTGATAACATTAAATAGATTAGTCATTGATTTAAAAATAAAATTCTTTTGTCTGACTCTATGCATTGGCTTGTATGTAAATCTTCTATTTTCTCGATCAAAATATTCATCTTTATGATAATTAAACGAGAAAATTAACGTAAATATTCTACAAAATTGCTTGTTTTTAATTGTTTTTCAGTTATATAACGTTTCTGCATGGTTGCTTTTTCAGTAAAGTTACAAATTTAAAGTTAATTTGAGTTTAAGGAAATGTTTCAAGAAATTTTGCTTATTTTTCTGTGCTTTTTTTAATTTATAAATATTCAAAATTAAGTTATGAATTAATTCTTTTGCTTTTCTGTTGATTATTAATGATATTTATGAATTTGTGAAGCTGTTTCTACAATTCACAAAAAACTGATGTATATGTATGGTATGCAGTGTTGTCTTGTGGTATGGTCTAGTGAAACTAAACTATTTACTAAATATATATATGTGAATTGAGAGGTTCCTTTTGGTAAGTGCCCTAGAGGAACTTTTTAAAAATGTGGTGTCTATTTAGATATGTCTGACCCAACTAGAAGGAGCATAAAGGAAGATTGGACTAAATATTTGATAAAAAATACTCCTTTTGCTCATATATAGTACAGTATGGTCTGCATCCATTCTAGGATAACATTGATCTGCTACAGACCAATGCCATTTGCTAATTTTTAAATTATTTTATAATTTAAATTTATCTTAAAGCATGTAGAATATAAGAGTTTAATATCATCCTCTTTTAAAATATGTGCAAGTTATTTGATTATTAAATTTTTATATGAGTAGAACAAATTAGAAGAATGAACTTACTTTTCAAGAGATACATAACAAAAATATGTAGATTTATTAGCATTGCTGACCTTATTTGATATTTTTAGTTTACTAGTAAAAAAATTTGTTTTCTATACTAATTAAACTATGTTTTTGGGTAGGTGTTTTATCACAAAAGATTGGATCAGACTGTGTATTATTTTTCAATTATGTATTTATATAGAAGAATATAGAATTAAATAATTATTATTTCAAAATATTACACAGAAAGATACTAAACAAAATACATATAATAATTGTGATGGAACATTAAAACAAAAACATATGTTAAGCAAACAATAAAAATAAAAAATAATGCATATTGATAAGTTAGTAGCTTGCTTTTTTTTATGTTCAAAAATATATTTATGCTTATGATGCTATGGAAACATTGAAGAGAATAATATTTTATATCATATTTATGTATTTAAATTAGTGAAGTTTATAAATTGATTGATAAAATTAGTCTGCTTGGAAAAAATTGAGAATTTAATTACAAAATTTTCATAGAATAATTTTGTCTTTATTTTCATCATACAAATTTATTAGCATTTGTATTTCACTCTGTTTTAAATAAAATAATCTAATTATTTTAACTAAGAACAATGCAAATGTAAAGAAAGTGATCTTTCCTAAACAAAACTTCTTGGAAAAGATTGACAAATGTAAACATTTACATGCAAAAACCCTACCATTTAAATATTTAGTCTGGCAAATAAACTACCTCCTAGAGACCTAGACATTAGAATGAATGGATATGAAAAAATTTTGTTGTGTAAATATATCTATTTATGATAAGAATTTTATTAAAGTTTATTATAAATTTAAAATCAAAAATAACAGTAAAGAATTTTAGATTCTTGTTTAAATGAATTATTTTCAATTTTAATCAATAGTTCAATGTTCAGAATCATTTCTTTAATTTGATTATTCTGTTGATTTGTAATAAGTAGAAATAACTGAAAATATTTAGAATTATATATATAAGAATAGTTCATCAATATGTTAAAATTTCAATATTTAATTGAATATTTAGCATAATGATATAGATAATGAATGGAAATTTATAATTAAGTTAGAAGCAAATCTGAAAATGTTTCTGCTGATGCTACTGAAGTATTATTAAATTTAATATGTAAATAAAATAGTAAACATTTTTTCTTGGCAACAATTCAAATTTTTTTCAACCTTAAAGGAGCAATGGCTTTACAGTATTAAATTAAAATCCAAATTTTAACTACAGAAATTATTGTTACGTGTAATAAAATCATTTCATTTATTTGTCAAAACCATGTCTTCTTCTTCTTGTTTTGTTTGGTTCAATGTCACAACTTGGCGAATTTATTCACACTTGGCAAATAATGTCATCGTCAACTTTTAATCCATAAAGATATGTGTTTCGGACTTTCACCTTTCTTCAGTCTGTTACATAGATAGGGGAGAGGGAAGACATAGTGTGGAAGGTGCCTGACAGATGTACACAAGATATAACCTATCTATGTAACAGACTGAAGAGGGGCAAAAGCCTGAAACATGTATCTTTATGGATTAAAAGTTGGTGATGAAATTATTTGCCAAGTGTCAATAAATTCACCAAATTGTGACATTGAACTAAACAAAATCATTTCAATTATATTCAAATAGTCAATTAAAATCAGGAAAAATTATAAAGCTGTTTAAAATTAATAAGTTAATTTTTTGGGAGAGTTTTTACTAGTAGATTATATAATACAATATAGCATCAAAGCATAGTTGATCAAAAAGTATAAGGTTACATATCTCAATTACAGATAATTCCCGTATAACACAGCACTTCTATAGCATGGATTCACTCTAACACAGTTCGAGAATTGGGAACATCCCCGTATAACACGGTGCTTTTTAGCACAGGTTCAGTCTAACATGGTTCAGGAATCATACAACATGAAATGTAATAAAGGGTGCGTTCTTTTATACTCTGCATAATTCCGAACAAGCATTCTAATTGTTTTCGTGGTTGCTTTGAATGCTCTTTCAACAAATAATCCTGTATATGTAAAATAATATTTGTGAATATTTGGGTTCACGTACGTAATGATTAATACGCATGCGCGTAATGAATTTTATTCGCAAAGATGTATATGTTCCAAAATGTTTAAATATTTAAGCACAACGATTTTCGAATATCAGAATTTAAAACCTGAGGAAGACTGAGGAAGGCAGTCGAAAACGTTTGTTGTTTTCATTAAATATATTTTTACTGGTCAAGTAAAGGTTTTTATGTGTGTTTATATTAAGTAAATTGGACCAGTACCAGGTGAGAAGTAACTTTTATT